TTTTTATTTTTTTACTGTTGGGGGGGCTGCGGCGAAATATCTGGGGTCTAAATAGACCCCTGACATTTCCCAGAGAAGGGAAACTACCATGGATTACAGTAAGGCACACATTACAGTATTGGTTTATGTTAAAAAATCTGAGGGTTTAATGTCACTTTAAGAGCAATCCAGGATCCCCAAATCCCAGGGAACTCAATTATGCAAATCCCATCCCCATATTGTTCACCTATTATTTGGTTAAGCTGCGATTAAGACTGAGGGAGACAGGAAGGGGTGGGACAAACGTCTGACTGGCTGTAGGCACACATCAGACTAAAGCTGGTCATATACTACTTTCCCTATTTCTATCCCTGCTGACTTGGTGAAAGTCAAGCAGTGTGCGCCCCCCGCCCCCAACACAATGTCAAAATGTAATAGACCAGAGGCTTGGGATTCCCCCAGCCACAGCTAGTGTATGGCCAGCTTAAGCTCATGTTTAGTAAATAGACACCAAACACGTCAAGCCTTAAAATTGTGTGCGCCCGCCAACAGGCGACGCTTAAAACTATTTTACTGCTTATCAGTTTAGTGTTATCAGTGATTAATGGCCCTAAAATTATTGCTCTCACTCCGATGTTTGCAGCGATATGTAACATGTGCGGCACAATAGGTGCAATCGTCTTTTTTTCGTACATAGGCGCACCCGACGCATATCTGCGTGTGTATGTGGGGGGCGGGGGACAACATTTTTTTTATGCTTTATTTTTTTTAATGATTCTTTAATTTTTGTATAACTTTTTTTTTTTTTTTACACAACTTTATTGCTATTACATGGGGGGCTAAGAAGCCCCCTATGGGATAGCCAATTTACATGACAGGACCTGAGGACTAACAATGTTCCTTCACTGGACTTCATTTAGAAATCAAACTGAGGACTACACCCAGCAAAGGCTGAATGCACGGACAGCCAGGGATTTACCCCAGCAAGGTAAGCGGACTGCTGCACAGATGTCATCAGACTAAAAACAAAAGGAGGAACAAGGAGGAATGACAGGTATTTGGGTGGCTCAAATGTATTTGTTATTATGCCATCAGATTAGAAGAGGGAAGAGCCCAAACCCATAAGTATGCCGACATGGAGCTGCCAGGAAAGTCTATAGTCCAGGACAAAAACAGACCATTTCCTCTAAATGCAGTTCAGAAATGAGCAAAACACAATAAGAAAAACACTGAAGGAAAAAGGTAGCCAGACACATTGTATTATTAGAAGCAACAGTCAGCAGTGGTAGCCTTGCATTTCCTCTGAGCTTCGGTTTTAATAGGTGAATGCCGATAGTGCTTTGACCCAGATCGTTTGGGCCCATTCAGATCTCATAGTTGTGGTAATAGTTTATGTGTGGTAGTGCCATTCATTTAGAATGCAACCTGACAGAAAGTCTTCTGCCCTACAGAGATTTGGGAAGACCGTGTTTTGAAAATTGACTTTTTGTTGTACATTAATTCTTAAAATAACATCACATTAGCTTACTGTAATAAAATAAATATATTCACAGAATCTGATATAGCTTTCATCCATGCATCATCTCACAATGCAGCAGTAGAGGGAGACCCAGAAGCTAGGTAGTCAATGCATCCAAGAGATAACTGACACAAACATTTCTAACAAAACAGATCTATAGAAGATGGTGGTTTCATAACTGGCTGGATTCCTGAAATCTGGATTAAGTTATGTGTACAAGAATATCTCTTATTTCAGGTTTCATTGCCTTTTAAAAATCCTTTCCAGAATACTTTTTTCTATTAAACCAGCTCGTTTCTAGCCTCGTATACTGAAATAAATAAGGCCTTTTAATTTTTTCCCCCTTGTGTGTGTGTGTGTGTGTGTGTGTGTGTGTGTGTGTGTGTGTGTGTGTGTGTGTGTGTGTGTGTGTGTATATATATATCTATAATCTGGATAAATAGGGTGGAACTCCCCAGTGTAGACACAAACAGCTATAAAATCTTAACCACTCTATTAGAAATAAAAATGGTGCTAGAACAACCGTGTACAAATACTTCTTTTGGCCATGGC